AGACAACAGTCAAAAGAATGTAGATGTTAATAAAGCGTTTGCTTCCAATGAAACTTCAGTGGGATTACTTTCCCAGGATACGAGAGTCTACACGCTTGCATGTCCCGTCACAGCTGGTGTGACAGTCACTCAGAATGCCTCCCCGCTCCGGGAGAGCCAGTGTTCGGCTCACTTCGCAGTGGGAGTGAAGTCTCAGTCCTCACACACTGAGGCTGGCCAGAGTGAGGAACCCTTTCTCCTGGTCTCTTTCTGTGCTCTCAACAGTCCTGCTATTCACCCACTTAAGGTTCACTTCTAAGCGCTTAATTATGAAGCAGAAAAGTTTCCATTAGTGCTTTTCTCCCTATATTTCCTCCTTTTGTAAGTTGCATTCTCTTTTGTGGATGGAGAAAATTGGGCAGGGATGGATTGTTCCTTAGAATATGGACATTGTGCCAAAACCGGTTTGGCTCAGTGGATAAAGCGTCAGCCTGCGGACTGAATTCCGGTCGAGGGCATGTACCTTGGTTGTGGGCACATCCCCAGTGGGGGATGTGCAGGAGACAGCTGATGGATGTTTCTCTCTCATCGATGTTTCTGACTCTCTCTCTCCCTTTCTTTCTGTAAAAAGTCAATAAAATATATTAAAAAAATATTGACAGTGTCCCAACAGGCCAAACATCTGTAGGAGCCGCAGAAAGGGACATATGACAGATCCGGAAGGCTTCACAGAACATGCAAGATCACCTACACCAGCAGCAAAGTAGAAATGGGCAGTCAGAATGTTTCCCGTTTATTCGCCGCCATCTGACGATTATGACAATTTAATTTGGGAACTGGATTTATACAGGAAACCCAGGGAGAAAGTAAGTATTCCTCTAGAAATGGTGGGATAATTGAACTAATTTTATAAGTCTTGGTTCTTATCAGTAAGAAATTAGCTGTTAGAATTATTTCCTCAGGCATAGCTCTTGGATGTTCTCAGTTCTTCAGTAAGCAGCACCTGTCAGGCAAGGACTTTCATCATTACAAGTGTAGTCGTGGAACGATCCCACTCAAAATCAAGTGTTTTGCTCCTCTCCCGTTACACTGTGCAGGGTAGCTTTACTGCATTGGTCTTCAGGAAAAAATGCAAAATCAACGATTAATGTTCCTGACACGTTGAACAGCACATGTTGCATTTTTAAAAGATAAGATCATCATATAAAGTCTGCTCCATCTTTTGCATACTCTGACAATGGCTTGTTCAAACCCCCTTTTCACCATTACTCCCTTTAAGAAATCATTTTACATAGTATCCACACGTACACACAATACCCTTCTGGCTTGCAGGATGCACTGGTGTTTTCTGTTCCTCCTCCTCTTCCAATCCACCAAAATGCTGCTGGTCAAGTCACTCAGCGATCCCGTCACTCATGGACCACAAACTGCAGCCTGAGAAACACTTTAAAAAAAAAAATATATATTTTTATTGACTTCAGAGAGGAAGGGAGAAGGGACAAACATCGATGAGTGGAAATCATTGATTGGCTGCCTCCTTACCTGGGAATCCAGCCCACAACCCAGGCATATACCCTAGTGGGGAATTGAACTGTGACCTCCTGGTTGATAGGTCGACACTCAACCACTGAGTAACACTGGCTGGGCCTGACTCACACTTTAGATTAGGGGTGTCGAACTCAATCAGAGAAGGGACCAAAATCTAAAATCCAGCCTAAATCCCGGGCCGAATGGTTTACTGAACAGTCATAAACTGTCATTGTGATGGAAACGCAGCGGAGTGCAGTGATGACAGCGCGGTGCGGGCCACATTGCAAGGCCTGGTGGGATGGATTTGGCCCGCGGGCCTTGTGTTTGACACATGTGCTTTAGATCATACATATATCACTTCCTTGTTATTCTATCACATAATGAAAACATACAAGATCCAGGTGGGACACTTCTGTAGTCGGAGCAGAGCTGTGAGGGCTCGACCCACCCAGCTAATCTGAATTGTGGGGCCTGTGAGAAAGGACGCGGGAGGCCGGACATGCTGATGCTATGACCAAAATATGAGCAAGTCCAAACCTGACTTCCTCCCACAGGGATTTATACATTTTGCAAACAATGCTTCATCTGCAGCGTGAATGCCAATTTCTTTTTCATTTTGAGAAGTTCTATTTGATTCTTTCCCAAATCTACTTGATAACTTTAATAGCTCATTTGTCCTTATTCAATTTCTTCTGAATAATTGAGCATCTGCTCTTGAGGCTCTTAGTCCCCGTTTCTTAGCAGGCTCTCACAGCGCCAGCGTGTGTGCTGCGGGCCATGCCTGTGAGAACAGTCCCCGCACTCTATGGGCGGGGCTTCTTCGGAAGGTGGCTTTTTCCAGAGGGAAATTGTGGTTGTTTGTATGGTGTCAGGGCTCTGCCATGTGATGCCACTTTAAACTGAAATCTGGGCTTGAGGTTTTTGCTTGTTTTCTCAGATGGTCCATATGGGGAGGAATCTGGCCTGAAACTCGAGAGGCAGCCTGCTGTAAGCGGTCAGGAGAGCACACTTTACCCCTCAGTCAGTCAAGTTCAAGACGGAAACTCTCCTAGGGGGCGATGGCGCTCCGCTCAAGCATGGGGGGTGGTGTGTGTGTGATCCCTCCCCCAGACTAACCCGGGACTTTACCCGCTGCCTCTGGGCCCCTGAAGCTTGAAAACAGTAAGTTGTCCTTAACCTCAAGGGTCCAGCAGCTTTCATGTAATGCTTTAGAACGGGTACTCCTTACCTTCTCGTCAGCTCATTCAAAAAACATTTTTTAATCCAACAGCTAGAACAGTTTCTAGGAGGAGGGTACACTTTGCACCCTAAGACTACGCACGTTTACAAAATCAACAATTCTCCTTCACATCATTTGAAATAAAACATAGAAAAACCATTGTGGGTAGTCCAGATTTTATTGCTCATTAATTATGCCATTCTATACAATTTTAAGTAAACAGTTTGAGAAAATATAATGGGAGTGTTGAACAGTGATGGCACTATTGTTGAATGTTCAAGTGTCACATAAGGTAGTAAGAGGCACCAGTGCCACCATCGCCTCCCAGAATTTGTACATTTCATATATAAAAAAAGAAAAAAGTTCATTGGTATTTTACTAGCATTATTCTTTGTAATCTATGAACCGTGATAAGCTTGAACAGTTTCAGACTCTTCGGAGCAAAACAAAGGCTTTTCTTCCACTAGCAGATGTAGTAGCTTCTTTAAAAACAACAGACAAATCAACACAACGATGTAAGGAACAATTGGGGCAAAACAGAGTCGGCATATTTCAGTGGCCCTGAATTTTACTGTTTCTCTGTCATATTATCTATGGTGGTGTGGAACATGGCGGGGAGGTGGTGCTGGCAGTGGAGGCTCTGCCGACCCCGATGGGCGCTGACAAGAGCAGCACTGTGGTGGGATGGTGGAGCAGGTGATCCGGTAGCACCAGGCCAAGGCGGGTGCGAGCAGGGGCCCCACTGCCTCGCTGATCACCCCGCTGATGGCAGCCAGCAGCAGCAGGCAGAGGGGGGAGTCCGACCCCGACCAATCATCCCGCAGATGGTGACCAGTGGTGGCCACAGGGGGCGGTGCTGAGGGAGCCGGACAGGGAGCCTGGCCCTGATTGATGGCCCCAAAGGCAGGACGGTGGAGCAGGTGAGGGGGCGGTGTAAGGACAAGGTGGGGTGCCCGGTGGGGCTGTGTGGCTGTGGGGCTGTGAGGCTGAGGGCGCGGGCTGAGACCTCATTCTCGCAGGACACCCTGAGGGACCCCGCCTGTGCAGGAACTCATGCACCAGACCTCTAGTTTCAGGAAATAAAATGCTACTCGGCTTTTAAAAATGAGAGTAAATGTTTTTACCATAATTATGATTACTTCATAATTTAAATGACTTAACTGAAGATAGTGTTGGCTCAGTCAAAACCATGAACACAATTCAGACTGCTCTTATGCTAAAGAAACTTTTGAAAACCCCAATTGTTCCTTACAACGCAGACCCACACCGTGCAGTGCAGCTGAGGAACCAGCAACGTCCCTTTGGGGCCTGTAGCAGCAGCCCTACGGATTTTTAAAGCTGGGAGAAGAAGCAGAGTCACTGAGAAACGCACAAAGGCATCACTGAACCCCTGGCAAAACTGCACTAACGGTTTCCTCTATTAATGATTAAAAAGCAATCAAGCATGTACTACAGTTCAGCGTTTGAAACACTTCTATTATTACAATGATGCTCAGGGAGAGAAATGCATTTGAATACTTGGAACAAAACATGAAACGTAGTTTTATGCTAAGTTATTTACAAGACCTCCGTTACCAAACAACGAAAGATATATGACAGCACGTAAACAGGAATTTATTAGGACCACTGGCTCCACCAATACAAAAATTAAATATTAAGGCATCTTGTACTCCCATGTTGGTAGTGCAGTGAAGAGAAATGTTTAAATGGGAACCAGCACGTCTGTTCAGATGCTGTCTGATGTATTGGATCCGTTTTTATAGACTCCTCTTCCACACACCAAGGAAAGCTCTCATATCATGACCCACACCAAGAGAGAAGCATAAACCATATTCACTTATTAAAGGGAAGCAGTTCACCCTGGGGGGGGGGAGGGGGGGGGAGGCATTACAAAGAATATTGTGTAAAGCTCAAATACCAGGATTTAAGTTTCTCTGAAGCAATTTATGCCTCAGTAATTGATGAGAAGCCTAGCCAAAACCGGTTAGGCTCAGTGGATAGAGCGTCAGCCTATGGACTGAAAGGTCCCAGGTTCGATTCCGGTCAAGGGCATGCACCTTGGTTGCGGGCACATCCCCAGTAGGGGGTGTGCAGGAGCAGCTGATCGATGTCTCTAACTCTCCATCCCTCTCTCTTCCTCTCTGTGAAAAATTAATAAAATATATTAAAAAAAAAAAAAGATGAGAAGTCTATGAATCTGTATCATGCTTTGGAATAATTGTTCACTCAGTACTCTATTCCCTGGGACAGAAGTTTTAGAAAAGTCTTTTAAAAAATGGTTACATCCACTAGAATAAGATCACATAAGTTAACACTGATTATTTATCATTCCCCTTATTCCACTGACAAAGCTCAAAAGGCTTCCAAAGTATATTAAACAGTAATATTTCACCTTTTATTAAGGCAAGTTTGTGAAAATAATTTAATACAACCAAATCTCTTCAGGAAATTTCAGCTTAGAACATTTTTATGTAAGAAACATACAAAAAATGGTTTTATAAAAAGCCACCTCAATACCAGAAGAGAGTGACAAAAGTTTGAACCCAGTGTACTTTTTAAGGATGCTCTTTCCTTGTTTCCAATTCCAAGTGCTAGTCATCATCTTTAGTGCCACTTTTGCTTAACTATGGAAAAAGATAAAAGAAATATTCAACAAGTTTAAATTACTATATTGAGTTATTTCCATTTCATAGCAAAGGTAAACATTTATAGCTTTTGGAACCAGAGTCGGCAAGGTTTGGGAGGGTAAACCACTTCTAGCTTCCAACCCTATTGTTGTACTAGAAACAAAGAGATTATTTTATACAGTTTTTATGGAAAGGGCATCCCACCGCCCAAACAGCTGACTTCAAGATAAACTGTAAGAATATACCCATGAGGTCCTCACTAAAATGCTAGCCTTTAACTCTCCTTAGATCACATTAGTTACTTCTGACAGGACTGGCACTAAGCAGCATGCAAAATTCGCTTCATGAAGTTCTGCAAAGAGAATGAACTTACTGTGTTGGGTATCAGTTGAGTATATTTGAAGCTACAATTTGTGCAAGAAAAATACTGAGAGTAGTTGGCAGAAAAATCTCAAAATGGAAGTAAACAATTTAAAACAACAAAAACGGAAACTCTTTCTTGGTAACGATGGGAAACTACAACTAGGGTCTGATCTAACTAAAATGCTTAGTTCCTCCTAAGAAATCAAAGCATTTCTCCCCGGAACCTGTTTCCTCAGTTTCCATACCATCACTAACTTAGAGTCACAGTTAAGCATGCCCATTCTACGGTGTACTTACATCAACAGTCACACCTCACTGCAGCTATAAATACTTACATGCTGAGTGTGGAGGAGGAAACGGACGTCCCAGGAGAATCCAGAGGAGGAGGGGAGAAAATGGGAGATAAAGCGTCAGTATTCGTTGGCAATGCCATGAGGTCGTGTGAAGACTGGAATTAAGTATTGTGTACCTTCACCACATCCACCCAGTTCCAGCCTCGAGGAAGCTCTCCTTTGTGATCTGGAGGAGAAAACACAGGAACGTTATTTTTAAGAACAGTCGGTGACCTTTAAGGTAATATTCGAATACATAAGATCTATATGCCATTCTGCACAGCAGATAAAATCTAAGTCACATAACACCACGCTGACAAACAGACATTGTCACCGTGCCTGCACACACTGCTCTCCTGGGCACACTTGCCAAGTGTTTCAGGTGTGTCCTCTGACGGTCCCCTAATTTCATTCTAGACCAAACCTGGTGTCCAGGAAAATACGGAGGTGAGCTGCTAATGCCGGGAAGAGAAACCCAGCCACTTGCTGGCTTCAGGTGCGTGCACAAAGCATCTGCTGCCTTCCGGGGCTGCTTACCTCAGTGAGACGCTGTATGCTCACTGTTCCCTGTGCTCATGCTCCCCTCTAGGAAGCTAGCCCGAGACAAGAGGCCTTACATACAAACGTTCGCTCAAGATGAGAGGAGGCCTGGTCAACTTATCCACTCCTGAGTTCGGATAAAACAGCCATCATTTAATCTGACGTTTTTTAAACAGGGCTTTCGTCTGTTGGGAGTGCTTACAAGCAAGCTGGACTTTTATATAAGAATTTATAAAGTAAAACCATTTCATTCCATTAATAGAATATTCAAATTTAAAGAACAGTTTAATAAATACACTTAAATATTTTCTATTTAAAATAGCTTGATTTCCTTTATGCTCGATATATTTGTATGTCTCATTTTAGAAAACATAAAATCTGTATTTGAAACAAGTATATTAATTTTATAGCAAGGGAAATGGAAACCAACTCTTTGATTATTATTATTTTTAAAATATATTTTATTGATTTTTTACAGAGAGGAAGGGAGGGGGATAGAAAGTCAGAAACACTGATGAGAAACATCGATCAGCCGCCTCCTGTACACACCCAACTGAGGATGTGCCTGCAACCAAGGCACATGCCCTTGACTGGATTCGAACTTGGGACCTTTCAGTCTGCAGGCTGATGCTCTATCCACTGAGCCAAACCAGTTTCAGCTCTTTGATTATTATAGGAGAGAAGCAGTATTATGGAGCTCAATTTTAGATGCTAATGGTTCTTTTCTCCTTCTGGCCAAGAAGAGTCTTATTCCCCTGATTCCTGGTTAGGAGGGGATGGAGGTAGATCACCAGCCTTGGGAACCCAAACTTACTCAGAGTGCCAGCCATGGCTGTCCGATTACAGCTCTGTATTGAATGCGAGCCCCTATTTGGAAAGTCACAAACCTCTATGCTGTAATCACAGGAAGATAATGGCTCTGAGGTGGGCACCATCAAGGAGATGGAGGTAGGGGGACAGTAATAAAAGGGAATGACCAGCCGAAACCGGTTTGGCTCAATGGATAGAGTGTCGTTGGCTTGGGGACTGAAGGGTCCCGGGTTCTGTTCCGGTCAGGGGCATGTACCTTAGTTGTGGGCATATCCCGGGTAGGGGGTATGCAAGAGGCAGCTGATTGATGACTCTCATTGATGTTTCTAACTCTCTATTTCTCTCCCTTCCTCTCTGTACAAAATCAATAAAATATATATTTTTTTAAAAAATAAATAAAATAAAAGGGAATGACCAGAGGTCATCATGTAGGAAAGCAACAGGTAATGAACTGACACAGATGCTAAACATTCCAAAAAGCGATGAACCCAAACTCTAGAAAACAGGCTGCTTTAGTTGTTGATGCTGCTTTGACTTTGGAATAATGGATCCCCAGACTTTATTTCACAAACCGTTATAATTTCAAACATGTATTTTGAGGTTCAATACAGATTGCTATCTTTTTATTCTTCCACAGGCATTAAACAAAACATAGATAAGCAGAAAACCACCAGCACTATATTTTAAAAAGGGCACTATTTTAAACTTTACCACCAAAGTAAGAGGATCAGTTCTTCTCAATAAAGAGCAGCTTGTAACCTTGCAGCAATCACACACACACACGCAGATGTAAATATATGCACACTCTGTGTCCATGTATATAAACGTCTATAGGCACACATGGTGATATCACTTTAACCAGGAAAAGGGTTACGGATTGATATAATTTGCCAATTTTCAGATTAAATAAGAAAAGGGGTAAAACATTATTGCTAATATAAGCTGGGGCTTATAATACCCTTCTAAAGGTTCACCCAAAATGACTCTGGTTTAAGACACAGAATTCCACCTTTTTGTTGCTGTTGTTAATCCTCACCCAAGGCCATTTTTCCATTGGTTTTTTTTAGAGAGTGGAAGGGGAGGGACAGAGAGAAACATCCGTTTGAGAGAGACACATCAGTTGGCTGCCTCCCGCACGGACCCCAACTGGGGCTGGGGATCGAGCCTGTAAGACTCCTCAGTCTGGGAGCTGAAGCTCTAGCCACTGGGCCGAACCAGGCAGGGCAGGAATGCCATTCTCAAGTTTCGTTGCTGTTGTATAAGTAAGTCAATTATAGAGAAAAACATTAAAATATTTATTGTATTGTGCTAAGATCAAATGTGTACCAGACTTCATTTCATATGAAAGCTCTATTTCAAGAAGTTTTCAGTAATACACATATCTGCCATGGAGGTGAAAAAACATGAAAATCCCACACATGACAGCGAGGATACAAGTAGGACACACACCTGTATGATATTCTTTTTTTTTTTAACATATGTTCTTATTGGTTTCAGAGAGGAAGGGAGGAGAGATAGAAACATCAGTGCTGCCAGAGAATCATTGATCAGCTGACTCCTGCCCGCCCCCTATTGAGAACTGAGCCCACAGCCCAGGCACGTGCCCTGACTGGAATTCAACCCAGGACCTTTCCGTCCACAGGCTGACGTTCTATCCACTGAGCCAAACCAGGTGGGATCCTGTACGCTATTCTAATGCTCCTGAGAGTCAGGACTGATTTAGTTACTTTGCCGCTCATCTACCTTCTTCTCACGTTTCTTTCTTGTGGTGAAGGAGAAAGTATTTTCAATACATGTATGTGCCCTGACCCAGCCTCTGAGCCAACTGTCCCTAGAATAAAGAGTGGAGACTAATCCTCTGAATGGAAACCTAGTTATTAAGCACCCACCAGGCAATAAAAAGCAACACATTTCTCAGTGTTATAAAAGGAAAAAACAAACACAAACCTGTTTTATCTGCCAGCTTGCGTTTCTGGGCTTTTGTAAGCTGTTCCTTCTTTTCTTTTTTCTTACTGGATGGAGCTACATTAGCAGTTTCAACTGAGAGGATATTGCTTATGGATGTCTAGGGGGGAAAAAATAATTCTTAGACCCATGTCTTAAAGCTTACTGAATTACACAAAATATGGCTACACCCTGAAATGGGTTGATAATTTTTAGACTTGTGAAATAAAAGAACCCTCCCCTGTTATATTTGTTTATTAGTGCAGGTGAACTTAGCGACTGGATGCACTGTAATGCGCACTGACGGGCACAATACTAGCGCAACTGCTGCAACCAGGCCCCTCAGCAAGGAGACCTGACGCCAGCATGATGCAGAAGCTCTGAAGTTCCAAGGTAATTTTACAGTTCAATTTGCTATTATTTGGAAATTTAAATAAGTCTTTAGCAGATTTACAGTTGTGAGTACGTGAAAAAGTTTATTCTTGTATTATCATTTATTAATTATTTATTTGAATTGCAACTGTAAATCTACTTTTGCCCACCACTGGATTTCAGTTCATGCAGCCAGAGATTATGAGGCAAAATTTTAAATGCTTACGAGGTGCAGGCATTGCAACGAATGTTGTACATTCACAGTCATTTACTACAGATTCAGGTGGATGCTGCCATAACTGCCATCTTATAGATGAAGAAACTGAGCTACCCAGTAAGCGGTGCGGTGAGGGTCTGAACCCACGTGGTCTGCCCCCATCCTCGATTTGAGCTCCCACCCTCACTGCTTCTCCAGCTGCCTCCCAGGGTCCTGTGCTCTGCTGGGCCTGTGGAAACCAGAATTGCTCAAGTATGGGATGAGGCCTTTGCTGTCCGTGTACAGCTGGGTTCACAGACAAAACTCAGCACCGACCATCAACATGTTTTAGTGCAGGTCATGGTGCAGAGGGGCTAATACACAGATGCTCCTGGTCATCAAAGAGGCTTCTTCTCTAAAATAATCCTAGAAAAAAATGTATATTTTCCCCATTTAATAGCGTCTCTGTAAATGGCCATACCTTCAAACTGAGCTGTGGCAAGACCACTTGCAATGAAATAATCCCCATTAAAAATGTCATACATATTTTAGCTCAACATAAGAAATCCCCTTTCGGAGTTTTATGAGGAAATAAACTTGAAAATATGAATTCTACAATATCAGCACATGAAGTAGTCTAGTCTAATAGGAATGGTAAAATATGGAGAATAACATTTTTAAAGTTACATAAAAGCTAAGAAATCTAAAACTCATTGTTCTTATTTAACTCAGATGTAACTCACTTTAAACTAACAATCTCCAATTAAAAAAATAACTAGCTCAAATTAATTACTAACACTGAAATCGAAACATTAAGAACATCTGGCAAAAGCAAATGGCACACTCACTGCAGAGCTCACAGGATGATGATTCTCCATGAACTGCTCCTTGTTGTCCTTGGCATACTCGAACAGCGTGTAGGTCATGGCGGTGCCGAGGTTGGCTTCCACCGCCTCCTGTAACTTGGCTAGTATGCTCTCCTTTATGGCTGAGGATCTGGAGTGACAAGAAATATATTGCTAGCGGAAAAGCAAGAGTGTAAAACAAAAAACCCCATGAAAATAAAACACTACTCACATGGTGTTGTTAAAGAAAGCGTTCATGGAGATGATTGGGGGGGTCTGCGGGTATGTCTCCGTCCAGGAAACCTCGATGAGGAAAGCTTTGGGATCACCACTTTCACCTATCTGAAGAAAAGGGAAATCTCAGGCTTGTAAAAAGTAATACAAGACAGAATATTTAATTATGATCTTCAGAATGAATCCTTTCCAATGCTCATGGTCAGGTCAGTGATTAGAGCATCAGCCTGCACACCAAAGGTCATGGGTTCGATTCTCGGTCAAAGTCATGTACCTGAGATGTAGGTCTGACACCTTCCTTTGCGCAAACCCCCCTCGCCACATTAGGGAGCATGTGGGAGGCAACCAGATGACTCTCTTTCAGCCCCTCTCTTCCACTTTCTCTAAAAATCAATGGAAAAATAGTCTCAGGTCAGGCTTTACCTAAGTAAACAAATAAATAAATAATTGATGTCATGGCGAAGTGTCTTCATTTAAATGCTTCAGGAAATCCAAAAACATAATAAATCCAAACCACTAAATTTAAAAACAAAATCAGCATTTATTAGTCTTCTCCAGAAAGCACTAACGCTCCTACTTATGTCAACACTTACCCTATATTGAAATGAAACTGGACTTAATTCCCGGAAACTTTCATCTCCTTCGTATATAGAACGTAATGCTTCCAGTTCCATCTGAAAGAAATGAATCCAGTGCATTTTGTTTAGTGCTATAAATGGGCTAGGAGTAGAGGGTCTGATTCAAGCCCACTCAACTACGTAACAGCTGACGAACGTAGCTTAGATGTTTGTAACATACAGGGACATAACAACACAGTACGATAATGCTGATACTAATACTTCAAAACCATGTGCCAGGCACTGCAAAGCATTTTACAGTGTATTATCTCAAACTTTTTAAAGTGGGGGCCAGATCACGGTCCCTCAGAGAGCTGGAGGGCCGGACTATATGAACTACTAATTCCTACTGTAACACCTCAGCTGCGCTCACTGCCCAAAAAACCTGGCGGGCCGGATCAGACTCCTCTTCGGGCCACATGTGGCCCGCGGGCCGTAGTTTGAAGACGCCAGCCCTAAATTCTCACCTCGGTCCTGGGAAGAAAATCTCACTATCTTCCCCTTCCAAACAGGGGAGATAAGATTAGGATTAAAGCAACCCCAGAGCACATGCCCTTCATCACTCTGCCGGCGAGAAGGCTGGACAGAAAGAGTGTAAAAAAACACTACTTACACATCTTGTACTTGTAACCCTTCCCACAGAATGATACAAAACTGGTAAGAACACTTAGAGACAGGAAAAGGAACTGGGAAACAATGGTAGTTAGAAAAAGGTTGACAAGGACCGACCCAGATGGGAGTAAGGAGAGGAAGAATGAGGAAGACCCTGCCCGGAAATACGTCTCAGAGGAGAAGACCGGCTGCTGCTGTGATCGCTGGGGAATACTCAGAAGAGAAGCCAGGAGAGGCTGCACTTGGATACATACTTTAGTTTAAAAAACCACGTCATGAATTCCACAAACTAAAGATGGGTGGATCTGATCTATGGGGACAACCTTTTAGAACAGATTATTAAAGAAAGTATGAGAGTAAGCAGGAGTTCCTAAGACCTAGCAGGCACGTGAGAAACAGCATCTATGCAAACAGTCCTTTTCAGAGCGCGTCCCTGATTACAGGAAGGGCCCACGATTTCTCTTGTTACTGTTTCAGAAATGCAAACTAGATTAAAGAATAACGGAGCAGTACCGGGCCTGTGCGGCTCCGCTGGCTGGAGCATCGTCCCGGACACCACAGGCAGTGGTGGGCTCCATGCCCAGGTTTCAGGTTTGTGCCTCGTCAGGGTGCAAGTGGAAGGCAGCCAATCAATGTTTCTCACTTTCTCTCGCTCCCTCCCCACTTTTTCTCCCTAAATATCAATAATAATAATAATGATAATAATAAACAAAAAATAACTCAGATTAGATTGGAACAAACTTACTCAAAATATAGTGCTACTCTAGTGGGTTGCTAATCCTTTCCTGCCTTTTCATTATCGACCTGGACAGGCATGACAGCTGAAGGCAGGCTTGCCGACTTTGTGGATGACAATTTGATGGGATAGTGCAGTGGTCCGCTAACTGCGGCTCGCGAGCCACATGCGGCTCTTTGGCCCCTTGAGTGTGGCTCTTCCACAAAATACCACGTGGGGGGGGGTATTCAAAATAGACCGCCCAGGCCAAAAACCGACTTCTGCGTGCGCACCCGCGTGTGGTACTTTGTGGAGGAGCCACACTCAAGGGGCCAAAGAACCACATGTGGCTCGCGGGCCGCAGTTTGCCAACCCCTGGGGTAGTGAATCACGCTGGTAGCAGAACGAAAATTCACACAGTCCTTGCCAAACAACCTCACGGGACGACACCCGAGCGGCTAAAGTCCTCGGATACCTACACACACAAGCGGAGGGCGAAAGACCAACTGCTTTGCATAAAGTGTGTAAAGGGCTTAGCGGCCAGTAAGTCTAACTGTGGAGAACGGTGATGCCACCCTTTTAAAACAGGACGCAGAAACACACGAACCCAGGAGAATTTCAAAAAATGGACACCGAGCCCTGGCCGGTTTGGCTCAGTGGATGAAGGGTCCTAGGTTCGATCCCGGTCAAGGGCATGTACCTTGGTTGCGGGCACATCCCCAGTGGAGGATGTGCAGGAGGCAGATGGTCGATGTTTCTCTCTCCCTTCCTCTCTGTAAAAAAAAATCAATTAAAAATATATTTAAAAAAATACATATATATATATAGCTGAAGCCGGTTTGGCTCAGTGGATAGAGCGTGGGCCTGTGGGTTGAGGGGCCCCGGGTTCGATTCCGGTCAAGGGCATGCACCTTGGTTTCGGGCACATCCCTGGTAGGGGGCGTGCAGGAGGCAACCGATTGATTTTCTCTCTCATCGATGTTTCTAGCTCTCTATTCCTCTTTCTTTCTCTCTGTAAGAAATCAATAAAGTATGCTAAAAGATACTATTTAAAAAAAAAAAAAAGAAAAGAAAAAGAAACTCCCGCCGGGACCGGTTTGGCTCAATGGATAGAGCGCCGGCTTGGGGACTGAAGGGTCCCGGGTTCGATTCCGGTCAAGGGCATGTACCTTGGTTGCGGGCATATCCCCAGTAGGGGGTGTGCAAGAGGCAGCTGATCGATGACTCTCTCTCATCGATGTTTCTAACTATCTCTCTCCCTTCCTCTCTGTATAAAAATCAATAAAATATATTAAAAAAAGAAAAAGAAAAAAAGAAAAAGAAACTCCGATCCCAGTGCTGCCTGTGCCCTATGGGCCGATCGCTCAGGCCTTCGCAGACCTGCGCCTCGCCCGCCCCCCTCACACCGCCAGGCCCCCTCCACCCCCGATGGCACCCAGCACCCCTCCCACGTGACGTGTGCTCATCGACGGCCGTCAGACGGACAGGACATCCCACCGAAGGTCACGGCCGGAGCCCGCGGACCCCGCGCCACGTTGTCCTCCGTCGGAGATTTAACCCAATTACCCGCCCGCCGAGGCCACATCCGGAGGCGATCGGACCCCATCGGGCACGGCTCCGCGGACACGCGTCCCACACGCGGGCCGAGTCCACCGGGTGGCGGACCGAGGACACGCGATCGCGCCGCTCAGGCGTCGGGGCGGCCCCGGGCCGACCGGACCGAGCTCGGCGGGGCGCGGGGCGGCCGCGGCGGCGCACTCCGGCCGGGCTCGTGCGGGGCCGCCGTCCGGGCGCGGGGAGGCGGCTACCTACCCTCCCTCGGGCCGGGCAGCGGGGAGAGGGCGTGCGGGGCGGACTCACCTCCTGGTCCTCGTTGGCGCTCATCGCGACCGCGAAGAGCACCGCGAGCGGCGGCCCGAGGCCCTCGGCCGCGGGAGGCGCACCCTCGGCGCCGCAGACGGCGGTCACGGCACCCGCGGCCCTGGGGCAGCGCGGAGCCGCCCGCGGGAGGGCTGAGGGCGCGGAGCCCGAGGCCGTGGCAGGCGGGGCGCCGGGGAGTGTGGACGGAGACGGCCGAGCCCCGAGACCGAGGCCCCGCCCCCTCTTTCCGCCCGCTCCTCCTATTGGCTCCGCCTCGCTCCGTCCGGCTCCTGCTCCCGGAGGACACGGAGCGTCTTCCCTACGTCGTGTGGAGCGGCGTCTAGCTCGCGAGCAGCGATTGGCGCAGAGCGCTGTCACTCAGGCCCAGGAAGCGCTTCCTGGGCATGCGCAGGCGGGCGGAGGGCAGTCCTGCTCGCTGGACCCGGCTGTGAGGCGGCGGCGGCTGCAGGACCCGGCCTGGCTGCCTCGGACACCCCCGCCGGCTTCCCCTCGGCCTCCCCGGCTGGAGGCGACCGGCCACCGGCTGCAGCGGGCCCCGTGCACGCGGCCTGGGTGAGTCCGGGCCGGAGACCTGCGGGCCAGGCGACACCGCCTTGGGAGAGCGTTGGCTCTTCCTGCGGGGGTGAGGGGCCTGCGTTCTGCAGCGGCGCCAGCGGGTGCAATGCCTGCATCGCTCCTTTAGCCCCTGTGCACCTGTTTCCAGGGCCTCCCGGTGTAAGGGGGCTGGGGAGGAGGGTAGAATCTGCTTTTAGGGCTCCAGCGTCGTTTCTCTGCCTTTCCTGAATTCTGTGATCCTGGGACGGTTCGTTTTTCTGAAATCAGTTGTTGGTTCACATCCTCAACATCAGCTTTTTATTTTTCTTCCCCCCAATCATCCCAGCCTCAAACTGTCGTTCCTATTTTGGTCATTTTGTAGTAGAACTTATTTGAATCTTATCTTCATTCGCCTTGCCCTACACCCTGAACCTCCATTCATTAAATAGTGACCACATACATTTATCTTCCACTCCGAGCAGGTCGCCTTCCTTTGCATTGTACCGCCCTTCTTCCCAAGAGTCTTCCTTATGATCGTGCATGCCAGCTTCCAGATTATTCCCTTGCACTACGTGGTTCCCGGTCCGGGGTGTTATTCCTTCTGCGCCTCCGTCCACGCCCTTGGCTGCTTCTAGGAGCTGCTGTCAGCGAGGCCCATGCACCTCTGTACCTGTCCTTGGCCACCCCCATTCCTTTGCTGCAGAATAAGCGCGTCCCATTTCAGGTGCCGAAGCTTTTAGGATAGAATGTGCCAGAATTTCAGATACAATTTTCATTACCGGGGACAGAATTACAGTGATTTAGAGCTGCACTGCCCAGTATAGTAGCCAGTAGCCAGATGTGGCTGCTGAACATGTGAAATAGACTAGACCAATTTGAGATGTGCTTTCAGTGTACAGTACACACCAGATTTTTGAAAACTTAGTATGAAAAAGGACAATATCGTGATAATAATTTTTATATTAATTTTAAAAGGATATTATTTTGGATATATTGGTTAGATAGAATATCATTAAAATTAATTCCACCTATTTGTATTTTCTTGTGTGACCGCTAGAGCAGGCATATAGCTACACAGTAGGGTTGATTGAATCTGCTGATGTGGTATTCGAGATACGGAGGACCGACTAGATGATTAGCATATTATTTTAATAATATCTCAGGAGTTCAGAAATTAGATGTTAGCAATTACAGGGAAATTATAGATAATTACAGTTTTTGTATATCTATGTCAAAAATTATTTTTCTTTATAGCTGAAGTAGGTCATGAGACCTTTTAATTGGATGGCGTTCTGCTTTCTTGCTCTGCTCATTCCAAAGTTCTGTGCGCATTTTGAGATGTTACTGAAAATACTGATTAGTCTTAAAGTTGACTACCTTTGTAATATGAAAGATTTAAAAAATACAGTACCAATAGTTACCAAATTTCAGTAGGTCAATTTAGGAATTAAAGTTTTGAAAAACTTTTGATTTCTTTTGTAGTTGCAGACACTTCAGAGTCTTTTGCCTTTTTGTAATGTTTTCTAAATGGTGGAGATTCACATATTAGAAATGGATTTGGGCTTTTAAGAAATGAGTTATGAATGTATCAACATTTGTATTTAAAAATTTCAGGACGCCGTGAACATGGGTCCCACACAGTGGGACTTCCCTGTGGAATTATGCTGTCGGCCGATGGCCTTTGTCACTCTCACCGGCCTGGATGTGGTGTACAACGCCGTCCATCGAGCCGTCTGGGATGCTTTCTGTGCCAATCGGAGGGCTGATCGAGTACCGATCTCTTTTAAGGTGCTCCCCGGTGATCACGAGTATCCTAAATGCAGACCCAAGGTAACGGCATTGTGATTGCATGGGCTGTCCTCCCTCTCTCCCTCTGTATGTGTGTGTACGTCTTCTTTGCTCCTGTTGTCTGAGCTCGGAAACCCCTGAGTTTATTAAGGGGATGGTTACAGTGATGGGTATAGAAAACCCTGGGCTTTGTCAAGTCTGTAATACAATACAGTTATCCTATATAATGAGAGGAATATGCTCATTATCTTTTATACAGTGAGGCTTAATGACGGACCACATAAGGACCAGATCACAGATCTGCAGGAGGGTGGGGCATTGAACTACAAGCAGGTGGCGATGGAGAGCTACAGGAGGTGGCAGGGCAGCAAGCTATGAGGGGGTGGGGGGATATAGAGGGTGGCACAGGAGGCAGCAGCGAGCTACTGGTGCACGGATTCCTGCACAGGACTACTAGTGTTTAATAATAGTTATTTTTTTTAAACCCAGCAGAATAATTACTTTATAACTATTAAGCTTTTTATTCAATGAGCCTAGTTTTTCCTTTTAAAAAAACAACAAAACAAAGAAATCTCCATAAAGGCCTCCCTATTTAGGAAGGTTTCGCATTCTCCATTCACCATTACCAGTATCGTTGTAGCATCCATGGTCTTCACAGTTTACAAGTAGAGTGAAATGCCATCGTGGCAATATGTTTTGAAACAAATGAAGCTATGTTGGGTTTCAGATAACAGTTTATTTGAGCAGCTTTTTACAAGAGCAGAAGCTTGAAACGGTGAGGAATATGTCAAATTTACCTGGAAAAGGGCTGTATGCTTCCAGGGTGTTTGAGAGTCTTAATACTGTTAGAAACTCTTGCGTTTGTTCATTCTTTAACTGAAAATTGCCACAGCTTTGAGGTTGAGATCCTACCTCTAGTGCTTTCTAGCTCTTATTTGGTCTCTGTAAGCTGGAATTTCCTCATCTTATTGACAACGAGAGGCCCTGTGCAAGACATTCATGCATGGGGGTTCGGGGAGAGGTGTCCGTCAGCCCGGCCTGCCTCCTCTCGCAGTCCGGGACCCCTTGGGTAGTGTCCCTAGGCCTGGCCAGCCACCAGGGCCTATTGGGGTGTTGCTTCCCCCGGCTGCTTGCCATCTGTGTGGGCGCTGCTCCCCTCCTCCCCTGCCACCGGTTGCCTCCTCCTGCGGCAATGGGGTGCTTGGCTGGCCTGGGCCTTCCTCAGCAGGGTGATCACTTTCTGGCCCCACACACCTGCCACAGCTTCATTGGCCAGTGGCCTGGGCCTCCCTCTATTATGTGATTGATCGTGGGGCCCCCAGATTGGTCGCCCCACCGGCTGGTGGCCTGGACCTCCCTCTTTGGGGCGATCGATCGTGGAGCCCCCCCATCAATTGCCCTTCAGAGGGTGGCCTGGGCCTCTCTGCGTGGGGCGATTGTGGGGCAATGGCGGGGCCCCCCTACTAATTGCATCACACCTGCCTTGGCTGGCCTGGCACCAGTGCATATCCTGGCGTGGTCGTCCGGAAGGTCATCAGGACGGTGGTTCTGCTGTGTGGTCGTTCGGTCGGTTTGCGTTTTACGCTTTTATTAGTTCAGATGGCTTGGGTGTCTACTGAGTGAGATGAATGCCCATAAAGTGCCTGGGGCTCAAGAACAGGTGGTTTCTGCTGCTGTTGCCATCGGGTAACTCGACAACTTCTGCCAATGCTCACAGAGAACGTCCTACGAGTGGTACATCCCGAAGGGGATCCTGAAGACGGGCTGGATGAACAAGCACCTGAACCTGGTGCCGGCCCTGGTGGTGGTGTTCTACGAGCTGGACTGGGACGAGCCGCAGTGGAAGGAGAAGCAGTCCGAGTGCGCGACCCGCGTGGAGATCGTCAGGTCTGTCTGTGCGCCGGCCAGGCCGCCGCTCAGGCCCATGGCGGCCGCTCGGGCCGATGGCGGCGGGCGCTGTGCAGGCTGCAGCGGGCGCTGTGGGGGTTGCTGAACTCCAGGGAAACGTGTTCAGTTCCAAACAGGACGCATCCATGTTAACTTAAATAATGCTGAGCTGGAGGAGGAAGACATTAGAAGACAGATTGGTCTGGATTTCCAAGTGCTTTTTCTTGCATTTATATTTTTTGAAGATACAGTAATTTGCTCGTTAGTCTCATAATACTTTTGCCCTGGCACCAGTTCAGTTTCAAAATAATTCTTTCGAATGGACTACTCTGTCATGTATCACTATAAGGATATTGTATTATAACTCTTATGTGAAAATATAAAACTTTTACTTTCAAAACAGACTTTTGTAAGGATTCAAAGCTCAATGTGAGATTTTTATTTTTGAAATTGAAATCATTGTGGTACATATGTTTCTTTGTATGCAGGAAAAGATTTCCTCTAATCTTGTGAATTTTTTTAGTTGAATTTTCTTTCTTTGAATTATCAAATGTATTTTATGAATGGTTTTGAATACATGCATATTTTTAAAATATGTTTTAGTTGATTTCAGAGAGAGGGAGAGAGCTCTGGCTGGAAACATCAGTGATGAGAGAGAAACCTTTGTCGGCTGCCTCCTCGCACGCCCCCTGCTGGGGATGGCGCTCGAACCTGGGCCTGTGTCCTGACCTCCTGGTTCATGGGCTGCTGCTCAACCACTGAGAGATACCACCTGGGCTTGAATACCAGTATATTTCTAAAAAGACAGTTTAATTATTTAATGCTAACACTTTTCCGTTGCAGGCAGAGTTTGCAAGGGAGGAACACAAAAGTGGCAGTGGTTCTGATTCAGAAGAAAACCCCATTGCCTCCAGGTATCGAAAAGTTAATAGTGAATTGTTTTATGCCTCCAATTCTTATTA